CGCTGCCCAATTTGGCTGTCAACATGTTTGATTTCTTTTCTGGTCTCCTGAAAAATACCCTCAGATTTATGGTTTTGTCCCACGATTCCCTAATCTCGCCCCAATGCAAACACACACACACACACGCACACACACACACACACACACACACACGAGGGCTAACTTGGGAAAGAGTCGTCCCAGGTCTTGCTCTTTCCGGGCGTCCCCAGCCCCCGAGCCCCCGAGGCTGTACAGCCCCGGAGAGGACGCGGGCTCCCGCGCGTGCGGGGTGCGGAGGCCGGGGCTCCAGGCCCCGCGGAGGCCGCTGCGGAAAGTTGCAGTCACGTGCTGCGGCCGCCTGCGGGAGCGCACAGCCTGTGCCCGGGAGACGCCGGGCGGAGGAGCTGCTGCGCCCTCCGAGGGCTCGGGGGACGCAAGCACTCGCACACACAAACTCTCATCGAAAGCTCTCATCTGAAGAAAGTGGAGCTGGGGGAGGGCAGGCAGAATTTCGGAGAGCGGGTTTCAATTCTCCTCCCCCCCCTCCGCCCCCCAAAGCGCCGCGGTGGGCGGGAGAGCAGGAGGTGTGACCCCTGACCTCTAGCCGGCCCACGCCCGGAGGACAGGCCGGCAAGCTCTTGTTCGACAAGTTCAAGCTGCTGGGAGAGCTTAAATAAGAATTAATCTCTTGGTGATTGGGAATCACCGCTCCCTAGGCGTGCGCTCTCCCAAAGCCGCACAGGGACCGAGGCGTGAGAGAGCACTGGAGTCGGGGGAAGGCAGGCGGGAGGGGTAGGGGCCTAGGGCGGAGGAAGCTCCCCCGAATCCCTGGACGTTACTCGCAAAGGGGGAGCCAGCGAAGCCTGCTGGGGTAAGTTCTGTCCTGCAGCCGCTCCAGTGCAGATAATGGAGGCAACAGTAGCTTCGCTGTGCTCCGGGTAGGCTTTGCTTTGGGAAGCGGGCGCACCCTGCCCGCGGCTGGTGCCCCAGCGGACCCCGCGAAGGCCGCAGGAACGCCGAGCCTCCAGCAGATTCCATCCCAGGCCCCAAGTCCGCACACAGCGTCCTCAACTACAACTTTCCGTAGATAGTTGCAAAATGAATAATTACTCACCTCGGACCAGATCCAAGTTTTACCCAACAGAAAGGGCACGGGACCAAGAATGAACCAACTCACATGGCCATATCCGGTGCGCACAATCACACACAAACACACAGCCACCCAGTTTCTTCCACGAATCTGTCTGGCGCTCTGGAGAGAAGGGGGAAAGCGTTTTGAGAATGCTCCATCTCCCCTCCCTTCCCCCTTGCCATGAAATATAATAATTCATTTTTATTACAAGAGCAGCACCGTCCTCACCATCACGCACGCACAGAGCCACACTCCCATATTCACACTCTAACTCGTCAGCTCCGACAGCGCCTGCATTTTCTTTGGGAGCCGCTTGGAGGTTCATTAATATCATTAGCATTTAACCCCCTCCCTCTTCCCATCCCCTCCCTGCACATGGCTGACGTCAGACCCCGCCAGGAGTTGGGGGAAAAGCTAAGTGGGCCAGGGACGCCCTATTCCCCTCCCCGCGGCTGCCTGTCAGAGCGCTTCTGGAGATATTACAGGGGACCCAGCCCGCAGCGACAAGCACAAAGTCACGGGGTAATGAACTTCGGGGGCCCTTTGCCGCTCAGTGCGCGGCTCTCCCCGGAAACTGGGACCCGGCCGCCTGTTTTCTCGGAAGACTTCCCAGCCATCTAGTTTCCCACTCCGCTCTCTGGTTTGGGCAGCGCGGAGCCCATCTGCCTGAGACTGCGGTTGTGTTTTCCTTCTTTCCTTAAAAGAGCAGCGGTCTGTACCGATCTGGCCACACTCTGCATATGCCTAACGTAGAAGGAGAAATTGAAGACTGAGAGACAGGGATGGGGAAAGAGTGGGATTTTGTCCTTTTTGCTCCGTAGGAAGACCATTTTCGTGTCTCCGTCTGTCCTTCACTCTTCCTCTCTGGCTGTCCTCCTCCGTTCTTCCTCGATCTGCCTGTCCGTCTCTCCGTTTGTCTGTCCATGCGTGTGTCCATACCAAGCAACATTCCCAGCAGCTGCGGTTTTGCAAGAGCCGGGAAGAAACTTGAGGATGCTTAAATTCCCACTGTGGAACGAATTCTGAGCGCCCGGGGAGCAGCGCAGCGCGCAACCGACACCCACCTGTCCGGCTCCGGGAGCCTGCAGGCTGGAGGGCGGCTGGAGAGCGGCGGCGCCCGGCGGCGAGGCGGGCGCTGCAGGCCGGGACTCGGGCAGCGCCCACCAACCGCTCCGCCCTGGGACAGCCAGCATGAGCAAGCCGGCCGGATCAACAAGTGGGTACCTTTCGGGCCGCCGCGGGGCTCAGGCGCGCAGCCTGGGGTGGGCGGCAGGGGAGGCCGGGGAGGTCCCGCCCCGAGCGCTGCGGCTCTGAGCCCGGGAAAGGGACTCCGGCGGCGTGTGCGCTTTGGCCCAGCTCCTTGTAGCCCGTGAGTCGGGATGTTTCCTGGTGAGGGAAGAATTTCGTTACCTCTGGATGGCTTGATTTCCCACCCCCCTCCTTGGTTTGGTGGGGAGGTTGAGACCCGTGCAGCCCGCCAGTCCCGCGAGTTGCATCCGCTTAGAGACCAGGTGCGGGGAAAGCGGGGGGGGGGGGGGGGGGGGGGTCGATGGGGGGCGGGAACTAGGCCGCAGCTCCAGGCTGCAGCAACAATAACACACTCGCTCAAAACTCCGAGCTCCAGCGCGCAAAAGCAACTCTGCGCAAAGCGGATTTGAAAGGAATGCTTTGCACCCCGTTTCTAGTTATTTCAAATAATCCTGCAAACCGGGAAGCAGAAACAATTTAAAAGTCACATTTTCCTTAATCCTAAATCCGCGTAGGTCATAACTGGGGAATTTAAAGTATGGGCGAACCGCTCTAGCAAAGAGGGGACCAAATCCCTAATCCCAAGGATTTTTCGAGCGGGAGCTCGGCAGAGGCAGGAGTGTGCGGCCTGTTCCTTGGCGCGCTTCTCTCCTTCCTCAAACTTGCTTAGCTGGTGGCTCCCGGTCAGAATGCCGAGGCGTGGCTGATCTCTAACCAACTCTAGACGCCAGAGTGAGGGGCTGTGTGTGTGTGTGTGTGTGTGTGTGTGCATCTGCTCCCCCGATGCCTATGGAACCCGAGAATGTGGAGGCCCCAGCCGGCGTTGGGCGGGCGTTGTCGCAAGGCTCGCATCTCCCCGGGGGTATTTCAGTTCCCGCCTTCCGGTGGCCCAGGACTGCCTTTTCCAGGGCCCAAGAGTGGAGGCAGCCCTCGCCCGCAGTCCCCACTTCCCAGAGATCTCCCGCCGCCCTTGCTGTCTTCGCCTATAGCATTTTTGCCGCTCGGTGCTTTCATCAAACACTCCCTCCCCTCACGCCCTCATTGCCCCAAGTCTTTCAAAGTTGGGAGAATCCAAGATACTTCTGAGAACTGATGATGAAGTCCCACTTAAGTGGGAAGCAATTCACTTTATCCGTTTGCTTTGGTTTGGGTGTTGCCGTTTTGAAAATTCAAGTAAAGTGACCATGAACAAAAAAGAGAAAAGGAGAGATGTTTAGAACTAGGGCAGAGGGAAAGAGAAGGAAACTTTGCCGCCGGCACAAATCAGAGCCGACCCTGGCGGAGGCCCGGCTAGCCTCGGGCCTACGCTGGCCCTGGCCGCTCCAATCTCTGGAAGCGAGGCGGCCTGGCTTTTTGTGGCCCAGGTTCTGGTGTGTGAGGTCCTTCCCCGGAGGGGCAGAAGGAAACCTTTTCTGCAGCATTCTGAGCCTCTAACGCAAAAACAGAAGCCTGCGGGCTTCTGCAGGCCTCCTGGCTACCTCGCCCTGTGACAGGCCCTCACCTTCTTCCCTAGAAGGAAGGAGCCTCGGACTCGTTCTCCCACTTGGGGTGCGGAGTCGCCGGCGTTGATGCGTGTTGGCGGGGGGTGGTGCTTGAAAAGCGAGGCCTCGGAATAAAGGGATGGGGCAGGCGCCACGCTCGGTGCTCCGGGGGCCGTACCCGCGCGCGGTGGCCTGGGGCTTAGCCGAACCGTCCGGACTCAGGAAGGAAGGAAGGCTGAGTGACACGCTGGGGAAACTTGGGAGCTTTTCAACTTCCCAAGGGCCCGAGTTCGGCCTCGGACGCCTGAGACCCGGTGCGGGGTCGGCCGCAGCTGTTGAAGTTTCTCAGGCCCGCAGGAAGGCGGCCCCCGCCCGCGGCGCCGCTGCATCCCGGCCTTCTCCAGACAGGTGGCGGCAGCCGGGCCCGAAACCTGCGGCCTTCGGGCCCCGGGCGGCGAGGAGGTCGGCGCGCAGCGGGCGAGGTCAGGACCGAGCCGGGCCTCGAGGTCTGCGGGCCCCCGCCTCGCTCGGTTTCGCACAGCTGGAGGGCAGAGCGGTGTCACCCGGGAGCCCCGCCTGGGTGGTAACAAGACCCCGGCCAGTCACCCCTGCAGCCCAGACTAACTTCTTTCAACAGCCTCTGATGGTAATTACAGTAATCGAAGCTGCCATATATCTTCAGGCAATTATGACACACAAAAAGCCCCGAGGGGACCCCCTGGCGAGGGAAGTTAAGAACGGTTTTCCAGCCTCAGGAAACTCCCGCCAGCCTCACGTCGGAGCTCGCTCGGTTTGCTAAATGAGAGGAGCTTTGCAACGGGGTCAACCAGCTTGTCTCGTGACCCCAAGTCACCTTAACGTGGCTGGGTGGCGGGGTCTGAGGCGCAGACCCGCTATGCCCCGGAATTTTCGCGTCCCTCCCTCCTGTTCCCCTGCCGGGGCGAGTACGCCTGCCTCTAATCTGCCCCGGGAGCCGTGGCTCGGAGGTCTGCGCCGTGGCAAGGCCGCCCCGCAGCTGTGGAGGCCCCGAGGGGCGACTGTGGAGGAGCCCCGCCCCCCCCCGCCCGCCCCCGTGGTCCTCCCTGCCCCCCATGGGTTTCTCCAGAGCTGTGTGTCCCCGTCCTCTGTCCGGATGGGAGGCGGGGAAAAGAAAGCCCACCATGCTCCTCCCGCGCGCTTATCTTGGCCTCATCAAAAGTACCCCTGGGAAGAGGACAGCTGGGGTGACAAGATTGCTGAACCCCCAGCATGGAGCCCCTCTCAGCCCGAGGGCGTGTGGTATGCTGGGAACGGTGGTTGCAAAATATGGAAACCAAGCTGACTGTTTCTGGCGTCAGTGCGACGCAGCAGAGCTCGCGTCTCCGGTTGCTGGGGCCGCTGTGGGTTCCCATGGGCGCTCTGACAGGCCCAAGGAGGTGAGCGACCAGCCCCGCTGTGGCCTCGCCTGGCTACCTCCAGCCCCTTCCTCCCCCCAGCACAACCTCTCCTCCCACCACACGGGAAAGGGGGCGCCGAGGCGGTGGTCGCCGCGCCGCGCGCCTCCCCCACCAGCCTTTGTCGCCGTCAGAATTCCCATGCTACTCTTTTTGACGGGTCACTGGTGGCTCTACAGGCAGGTGCTATGGCGGGGTTGTAATTACCCAGGCCGCGCTTGGTCGTTACCGAACCCCCACCCCCGCCCTGACCGCGGGCGCTCTCCCTAACTCCCTCCTTCCCGGCCCCCCGCAGCTCCTCCAAGGCCTTGGTCAGGAGTTCGCGCCTACCAGGACGCCTCAAATCCACGGGCAGGTTTCCACCTCTGAGATCTCAAGGGCCCCCCCCCCCCGTGGCGCCCTCGCCTCCTCTACGCCCCTCGCCGGGCGGTTCTGACCCCCCTCTCTGCACCCCCGCCTGATAGCGTTCCCGAACCGCAGCGCCCCGGGAAGCAACTGTCGGGTTTCAGCGAGGCGGAGGCGTCTGGGGCCCAGACTGGAGGCCGTCGGTCGTGTAGCGACTGGAAAATTTCATGTACAGAAGTTAATTATTACTGTCATTATTTTTATCATCAAAATGTTAACACTTCACTACTTTGCGGGAGGAAAGACGTCTAAGTCCCTATAAATCGCTTCAGGCTTGTTGGGCTCTTGAACCCTAGAGAAAACAGTTCCCTCCCTTCTGAATTTTGGGATACAACCCTCCCCCTCACATCCCTCCAAGGTCCACGGCCACCCCAGGCTTGAGGAGATTCCAAGGAAAGTTCTCTTAAACCAGACGACTGTCAAGGTCAATAGGGGTAGAGAGGACAGTCTAGGGAAACCAGCTACATGCTTTAAAATATCAGCCTCCCGCAGCGGTGGAAAAAACCAGCAGGAAGGGACCCACCCGGGATCTCACGTGAGGAGGTAGGTCTGGGAGAAGACGAGCCTGGGGAGTGGAGGGAGCCGGGTGGCTGTCCCGCGCCAACCTGCTCAGGGATCGCACTCGAGTCACTCTCTCGTTTGCCCGGCCCGGTGCTAGTTACTTTGGGGGGGGGGGGAAATGTTCTTTTCCTAAAAGAAGTGATTTCGCAAAAGCGATCCACTAAGCATTTTTTAAAATAGGTAAAGCGAAAGTTGGGCAATTACCACTACCCTTATTATCATTAATAATCCTAGTATTAGCATTACAATAATAATCCTAATAATAACAACCGCCCGGCAGCTCAGAGAAAACTCGATTGCCTTCCAGCTGCCATCCCCGGTTCCAGCCGTGTTTGTTTTTCTTCTTTCCCCTTTTACATTTCAAGTTTGTCTCCTCGCGCGCTAACAACTTTCTCTGTTTAATGCGAGCGCGGGGGAGGGAGGCGGCCAAACTTTCCGCGGAGCAGAAAGGCAGCGGCGGGCCGCGCTGCCGCCCCGGCCTGCTGTAATCTTTTATTCCAAAATGGGTCTCGGCGATTAGAAGAGACCCAAATACATGTAGCGGTGCATGAATAATGCTCATTGTAGGAAACTGACACTTGCTCAAGGAAAAAAAGTTTGGCTATAAAATCACTTCATTATTTGCTTTTACCGCAGCTTCGGTGCTAATCCCTTCAGAGGTCAGATTGCTTAGCATCTCTCTCTCCCGCTCCCCTTTCCTCCCTCTCCTCCGCCCTCCTCGCCCTCTCTCCCCTTCCCCCCTTCTCCGTCTTTCCTGCGATTTCAGGCCGTATTTTAGATATCCCCTGTAAAGTGTGCGGCGACCGCAGCTCGGGGAAACACTACGGGGTCTACGCGTGCGACGGCTGCTCGGGGTTTTTCAAACGGAGTATCCGCAGGAACAGGACGTATGTCTGCAAATCTGGAAACCAGGTACCTCGGCCAGGGCTGCACCGCCCGGCTCCCGTCTGCTGCTTCCCCTTCCTTTGTTTGTGCCAAGGCCTCCTCCGAGTTTCCAAGCTGCTGGGGAGAGATCGAGCTCTGACCTCTCCCTTCCTCTCCCTTCTTCCCGCCTCAACGCTCAGAGGCCCTTCCGCGTGGGAAAGGCGGGAAGAGGTAAAGGAAGATACAGAGTTTGCAGGGGGATATCTGAATCCCGGCTCCTCCCTACACACACACACACACACACACACACACACACACACACACACAGCCATCCCACTTTTTGCAATCCTCTGACACACTTTGACACAGGGTATGGCCCACACCCAGCGGCTTTGAAGCCAACTCAGGGGACCTACGGAACCTCAGAATTTAAACCACAAAGTGCAAGCTGGAGAAAAGGCTACGTTCTGTTGCCTGCACCCCAACCCCATTCCTAGCAGCACCCAAGTTCCGTGCCCTGACCGCTGCCTGCCATGGCAGAAGTAAAAGCCACAAGGCATCCCAATCAAGGTTGCCACCCAAGGTGAGCATGGTCATTTGGAGCACAGAGGGCTTGCCCTGTGAAGGGCTGGTTGTGTCCTTTCAACTTCTGCAGTAGCAGGACCGCTCTGGTAGTGGTCAGTGGGGCTTCAGCCCCCATGTGACTTTAGCTGGGGCTCATGGGGAAAGGGGATAGTGAGCAGGAAGAGAAGGCTCTCAAGGAAGAGGTAAGTGGGATCCTCTCCAAGGCTCCCATTATCTCCTGTTTCTCTGCTTAGAAGATGTGCCTGGTTGGTTGTGTGTTGGTCTTGAGCAAGCAGAACTCTCTCAGAGAGACAAGGGGGTTAAAGCATGGGCTGCGAGTGAGCCAAAGCTTCCAGAAAGAGCAAGTTGGATCCCCTGACTTAGTTTCCAGCTCAGTAATAGGCTCATTTCAAGGAGATCAGCCTTTTGGCCCCACACGTTGCCTTCTCCTCAGCCAGGCACACAGACCCTCACCACAGAGCCACCACCTTGACTCCCAAGAAGATCCTGGAGAGAGTATTAGTCAGAAGTCATCCTTTGGTAACCAAAATGGTAAAACATCTTCACTAATTAATATTTATATATGTATATACATACACAAATATTGTCTGGTGCTGGTGAATTATTCTATTTCTAAAGCTATGTCTGCTTATAGCAATTTCCAATAGATTTGGATTATCAACAAGAACATGATGATATTTACATTTGGATAAGTCATTTTGAACTCCAGCCCTGTTACCTGTTTAATTGGGTACACAGCTCTGTATCAGTTTCTAGCTCACCATATGGACACATCACATTATACACATGCAGGGCTGTATCCCTGTAGCCCCACAGGAATATGGGATCACTGTGGGTCATCAGATTTGAGCAGGCTTCTACTTAAATTACCTTTTAATTTTATGCAATGCACAGAATTGGGGAATCAAAATCTCAGATGCTATGCTTGATATTTTCAAAGGGGTTGGCTATCAATTGAAACATATTGATGTCAGTCCAAGTCCTTGTAAAGGACTGATAATAGACTCATCAGGCTTGGTGTCCTCTCCTTGCAGAGAGAATAAATGGGCTGAGCTCAAGCACTCATCTTTCTCTCAAGCTTCAGATATTTATATACATATGATCTGATTTGAAGACACTCTTAAGAACAAATGAAGCTTCCATTTTGCACTAGCTTGTTTATCAGAATACTAGAAAGATTACATTTGAGGATAGATATATGACTTCATTTAATAACAAATTCTCTAAACCTCTTTACATTGAGCTATTACACTGGCCAGCAAAGATGACCTAAAGAATTAACTTAGAAAGCAAAGATTATTTCCTTTATCTCTTTTATTCTAAGATTAGGTAAATAATACTCCAATTTATTGTTAACAGTAATGAAAACATATAGAAATTATTATGAACCCCTGCCCCACCTTTGTTTTAAATACCTCAACATATTTTAAATCAGAAGGGTGGGATCTCATAAAAAGTATATTCAAGTGTGTTATTTTTTTCCTAAGGGCTATTTCAGAAAGTGTGCATATTCCAAATTCAGAGTATATGATTTTTTAAGGTTATGAAGCAAAATAAAAATGTTTTTATTATATTCTCTTTCTTCCCACTGCACATGTAACAGTAGCAAGTCATATAAACACAGGAGAGCACCAAACTTATTCTGTATTTTTGGTGCATAAAATGCATATGTAGCTGTGACTCTTTATGTATCTATGTATATGTTCCCTCAATAATAACACCTAACACTGAATGAACACAGAAGTTCCATCAGAAACTTTCTCCGTAAATTTCCTCTTCCAATATTTTTCCAGAAAATTTCATTACTTAAAACGTTTATTTTCTCGAGCATCTCAAATAAATATTTGTAAGTCAGTAATCAGCTCTTTTTTCCCAGTTATCATGCCAACTTTCTCAGTCCATATTATCGTTTTGTCGGACAGCCCATCACATTATCTTCCTGGTCATATTTCCATAGTGGGCATTTCTAGAATTTGCCCAGGCTTTGGACTCTTCTTTTTCCACCCTCACCTCTGTATGTCTTGCCTTGCTAATCACTCTGGCTTCTGCCTCACCTTCCCTGAATGGCTATGTTTCCATGAATCTGGGCTGAGGCTAGTCTGTAAGACAAGTTTCACATGCTGGTTATAAGGATGGCCTCAGGTACAAAGGCAAGAGTAAGGAAACTGGATAGTGAAGAATAAATGGGAGACATTTATCTGACCGAAAGTGACAGAAAGAGGTAGACTCCAGACCTGATGGCGGAGAGAATGCTTGGCTGGAAGAGGGGCGTGGCGGCGATCCCGACAGGCAAGCCGGCTCCCAGCCCAGCTCTGGCGCCTCCTCCTCTGGGGCCAGGTCGCTGTCTTCGGTACTGAAAGTCTCGCCCCTACTCCACTACCTCCGCGCCTGGAGGAAGTCGCTCCTTCCAGCAAGGCAGAGTCAGGCAACAAGGCGCTTGGACCCTTCACTTGCTTGGCGAAGGACTTTTCCTCCTTCTCCACTTTCGTAGGGTCAGGGGATGTTCCTTTTGAACATAGCCCCTGGAAGTAGCCCTGAAGTAGCCCCCGGAATCCCAGCCCTCCGTCTGCCTGGCTCTGCTCGTGCCCAAGGCCTTTGAGGCTGGCGGACCAGGCCTTTGAGGCTGGCGGACCCAGGCTTGCAGCTCCTAAGTCCGTGGCGGAGTCCGTCCCCGCCTCCACGTTTCTCTCCACCAGGCGCCGGCTTCGCGTCTCCAGTCTCAAGGCCCTGGGGGTCGCTGACTGCCTGCGCTCTGTTCCAGGGAGGCTGCCCGGTGGACAAGACACACAGAAACCAGTGTAGGGCGTGTCGGCTGAAGAAGTGTTTGGAAGTCAACATGAACAAAGATGGTAATCAGTACAGCTTTTTATTTCTCTAATGTTGGTTGACTAGTAAGTAAATTATATGTAAACAGAAAATACATGGCACTCCAATGCATGTAAGTAATCTCCCCAGCACATCTTCCCAGATGCTGGGAATTGGCCTTGGACTTTCAGTCATATCCTTCCGTCTCTCTGCATGAGCCTCCTACCCCCCACCCTATTGAACTCTCAAAGTATGGCCCATGGCCACATTGGAAACTTGTGCCCTACAACCACCCCCATGGAGCTAGCGCTCCCGGTGGCCCCAGTCCGATGGGCACACACACACACGTGGTATTTCCTGCTTCACATCCTAATATCTCTTCTCACCTCTCCTTGCAGTTCCTTTGTGACCACCTCTAAGCCTGTTAGTCTACCTCAGGATCTCGCAGTCTGGAGAGTCTTCCAGGGTGGAGATCATGGGGACTAGGGAACTGTGTTGGAGGAGGGAGGGCAGAAACACAAGCAAGGGGAATTTCAAGCCCTTGTTTGCTAATTAATTAAGATTCCAAAATCAGGACAGCCACTGTGGCGATCTGGGCTTTTTCTGGGCCTTCTGTTTGTTTTACAAAAAGGGACTGGAGAGGCAGGGTGTCACCTGTGGGTGCCTCTGACACCCAACTCCCAGAAGGCTCTCAAACAAACGCAGCAAGAACTAGGGAGTCAGATGCTTCTTGTGCTGAGCTCAGTCCGAGTGCGTGCCCGGTGTTGGCCTGGCGAGGGCGCCCCAGGCCTGGCCGGGGGCTGGGTCCTGGCCAAAAGGGAGGAATGGGGCCTCAAGACAGGATCCTCAGAGGACTTTGCCTTGGCGATGGGCCGGGCTGGGTGGCAGCTCCAGGAGGCACAGCGCCCACTGGGGAGTGATCCTTCCTCCGCAACGCAGGAAGCAGGAGGGAGCGTCCAACCTGTTGAACTTGTGTATTGACAAGTTGTCAAGCTCTGCGAGCGGAAGATTGCCCTGAATTAATTTGTTTGTTTAAACTGTTGGCGGTAATTGTCACATCTCCCCTGCCTTCCTCCAGCACACTCCAAGACAGGCGCTCCCTCGTTCCATCCCACAATGTGTTCCAGGCTCGGGTCCTTTTCTCCTGAGGCCCTCAGAGGCCAAACGCCATTTCCGCGGGGGTGGAGGTGGGGGAGTGGGAAAAGTGTGCAGGGATGCTGTGCCTGCCTGGGCGCAATGCTCCCTCTCCCCTTTGTCTCATACAAGGGTATCTAAGTACTCCCGCTCAGAGGGTTTCTGGTTTTGCTGCGACCACCCTGGGTGGAAAAGAGCCCTGAGCCCACCTAGTCTTGCTTGAGGCGTGGCCATTATCAGGACACTTGGGGCCCAGCTCCTCTTCTCAGCCTTATCTCTCTGCCTCCAGTGTAAGAGTTAGACGATCTCAGAGCGTCCTCCAAGTGCACATTCCCTCTCCCTCCCTCTCTTCACCTCTTTAGTGACCTTGCCTGCCTGGATGGGGCATTCGGCTAAGTGTTGTCGAGTCTTTGATCGGGTGCATTTGTCCATCTGTCTGTCTCTGCAGCGGTGCAGCACGAGCGGGGGCCTCGGACATCCACCATTCGCAAGCAGGTGGCTCTCTACTTCCGTGGACATAAGGAAGAGAACGGGGCGGCGGCGCACTTCCCCTCGGCAGCGCTGCCCGCGCCAGCCTTCTTCACCGCAGTCACGCAGCTGGAGCCGCATGGCTTGGAGCTGGCCGCCGTGTCCGCCACCCCAGAGCGGCAGACTCTCGTGAGTCTGGCTCAGCCCACGCCCAAGGTCCGTGTCCCTGCTGTACTCAAGGAGTCTGGTGCTTAGCGGAGGGAGGAGAGGGGCGAATCCATTTCTTCTGAGCAGGGATGGGTTCAAGCTAAAGACCCACCTGGTCACGGTGCTGGGTCAGGCTCTGCGGGAGGTGTAGACCCCTTGCTCTCCCCTGTTCAGCCAGTGGTGCTCAAATTTTAGTGTGTGGTAAAGTCACTCTCTGAGATGGCTACAAATGTACACTCCCTGGCCCATTCCCCATTGAGTCCCTTTCTCCATGGAGGATGTACAAAAATGCCCTGGTGTGGAGCCGTGGCTGAACAACCTAGGTATTTCTGGAGACCAGAAGAACACTTCTGGTTTTAGCAAAAAAGAGTTGGCTACAGCTGGTAGAAAAGAGTCCCTGAGTTGAAGATCTCAGGGATCGGTTTCCTTGGGCAAAGCTGGGGGTCCCTAATGCAACAACAGCGTGTGGAGCTCACCCTGTTAGGAGAGTCTGAGGAATCTGGCTTTATTTTCTACTCTCCCTTCACTCTCTTCAGAGACGCATGTATTTACACCACGATCGATCGATCTAGTCTCTACTTAGCAGGGCCACAGCCTGAACCACTTCAAAAGGCTGCCACCTAGGGACTACCTTCCAGGCTTCCAGCTGGTACCTACCCAAGGCACCCACTCAAGGCCGCGAAGGGGAGGGCCAGCTGCAGCCCCACGCTGCAGGGAAGCCAAACACCTGGGCACCCGCACAAGCACAATATTTAATATTGCTTTCTTACCCTTGATGTGTATAATAAGCTTGGGAAAGTAGTGTTATGAATATGTTGTCAGTTATGAATGGGAATGCTCTGTGAATGATTAAGATGTCTAATTGAAATATTTCCATAATATACTAATCCTTTCTAAAAATACTCATATGCATATTTGTGTTTGGGATGCCTATTAATTTATACTTTTTTCACATCTATTTTTATTGACACAAATGCAAGCAGCTCTTGTCTAAATTGGGAGACAGGCCCGGCGCTTTGCTCAGCCTGAGGAAAATTTGCTACAGCGGATAGAAAAGCCAGATGCCCCTCTGGAAGGAATAGGCCCCCAAAGACTGGAAATGGGCCTGTCCTAGTGGTTATTATTTCTCAAAGTCTATAGATATAGATGTTTGGGTTTTTTTTTTTTTTTTTAATCTACCAATGGCAACTGCATGTTTCAGCAGAACACCGAATTCCTGTCTCCTTCCCTGTTCTAATTAGAAAATTAGAAGGTTGGCTCTTCTTGCAAAGCTGTGGTTTCCTCACTCCCTGGTGTTTCTCTTTCTTCCCTGCTCAGTACCCCCATGAAGTGAATGGGACCCCAATGTATCTGTATGAAGTGGCCACAGAGTCAGTGTGTGAATCAGCTGCCAGGCTTCTGTTTATGAGCATCAAGTGGGCTAAGAGTGTACCAGCTTTCTCCACGCTATCTTTGCAGGACCAGGTATGACCAAGAGGGTACTGAGCTCTCTGGGAAGGGGGTTGGGAAAAAAACAACGTAGTCAGCCTTATGAAACTGGAGGTTATCTGGATAAATCACGAAGGCCAAGCGTCCTTTCTTAACAGCAACGGGGAAACGGTTTTTCCTAGCTTCCTACTGTGGGTTCAAAATAGCTATGGAACCCTTTCTAAGAAATGTAATTATGTTATTTCAGACATGTTACATTTGGGCTATGAAAAACAAATATAGAAGATCATTATCTTTCTCTCTCCTTTTGTTAAATTGAATCACACATTTAAAAAATTTTAGTGATATTTAAAATTGCTAATAAAACAATGTTTCTTAAGAATATTGGACCTGAGAGAAATAGATGATGAGAGTATTCCCCTGTAATATTTTCAGATCTAGTCTTAATATTTTATGTCTAGAGCTTTATATTTTCCATTGTGATACTCACAGCCTTGACCACTAATTTATCAGCATGTACGGCTAAAGGGTCCATTGCATACCTCCTGTAGGCTAGGATCTCCCTTGATTCTTCAAGTACTTTTAGAGATTTTGTAAACAAATGGGCATTGTGCATAATTCTGTAGTTGTAAATGACATTCAGAGGGGGAAAAAAAGTGTGTGCTGCTAAAAATTACATCATACCAAAAGCCAGAAATTTTGTTGTTAGGAATATCAGGAGTAGCTTCTGCTGGAATTTTTCTAATCTTGAGGGGAAGAAAGAAAATGAAGTGTTCATAACCATTGGGTGGTTACCCAGACATTCATGGAAATTAATGACAAACTTCCCAAAAGACTAATAAGTAATTTTAAAAGCAAATGGTTTATGTATTTAATTCATTTTATACCTAGTTAAAGCATGATAGTGCCCTTTAATATGAAGCATGCTTCCTACAGAGAGACCTAGCAATGTCCTCAAAACATTTAATCTTCTAGTATGGGGTGTTCTTGGTGCTCGCTTCAGCAGCACATATAGTATGGGGTGTTCTTGTTTTCCGGGACTCTCAGACATGGTCAGAATTAGATATTGTTTACCTTGCATTTTTGAAGTATTATTTTCTGTACTTAATGCAATAAAACTAAAAATAAAGCATTTTCAAAATTAAACCTTTGGTCTTATTGTGATTTTGGTTACAAGCCTTCACAATTCAGCTCATAGCTCCCAAAAGGAAATCCCTTCACATAAATCATCCAGAATTGGCTGGTTTTTGAGAGATTTTTCAAAAACAGATTTTTTCCCCCAAAATGGTTAGGTTCTGTCTTTGACCAGGTTTACTGGATGACTCTAACCACTTGCTGTGTGTGTGTGTGGTGTGTGTGTGCTTGCACGTGTGTGCGCACCCATGCGCACTGCCAATTGTTTCTCAAAACAGGTATTTGTATACTCTTTAATACAAACAAAATTTACTTACTGTCTGCCACTTAGCCCTTTAGTGGAAACCCTTCAACAACCAGCAAACTGCAGTGAAGTGGAATCCAGTATATTAATTTGGAAAAGGAACGAGATTTTTATTTTAAATATTCAGTAGCACATTTTCTTAGAATGAAAATGACAAGCACCTTGATGCTGTCCACTTATGAGTCTCAGAAAAATCAGGCAGTGAGATGAGGTAAACTCAGCAAAACCCGATTAACATAATTACACCCTGATTTCCCTGCATGCCTCTTGGGAATTAGTGATCTCTCCTCACTCCCAGCCCAGCCCCCCAACGCTCTAGGGAGATGGGGGCCCAGATCTGCACGCTTAGTCTGTAATCCTCAACCCTGATAATATCAGCATTTTATATGAAGGGGGTCACCTGCTGAGCTGCTGGTGGCATTTCACTGAGCCTGGGTCTCTGGAGAAGTTTCTAGGTGGTCAGGAATGAATGGAAGCAAGGACAAGAAGGGTAAATCCTTTTCCAAAGGAAGCAAAGTTTGGAGAATTGGAATGGCTGACTCTCAGATGCATGTGCTTATCTATAGGCACCTTTTCAAAAAGGAAAGTATGTAAAATAAAAGAAAGCTAGAATATTCAGGGGGAAAATGACCAAGACAGGCATTTAAAACACTTTTTAAAATAATGGAAATTTACATATTGAAATTGTTTATAAATTTATAAATTACACACTATATTATATTATACATCTATTGTATGACAGCTGATGCTTTTGGAAGATGCTTGGAGAGAACTGTTTGTTCTAGGAATAGCACAATGGGCCATTCCGGTTGATGCTAACACTCTACTGGCTGTATCTGGTAAGAATTGCACAATTTAATGACTTTGTTGTAGAAATTACCATAAAAATACATTACTGAAAAAAGAACAACATGTAAAGAATAACAAATTCCTGCTGAACAATAGAGTATACCTGTCATTTATAAATCTATATTTAAATGCAAATAATGTTGTTTTGTTGTATTCATGACTGCTTGCATTGTTATTTAAATGCAAATTACTGTGTTTGTTATCATCCAAGAGAAGATTTTATATTAACTTTCATACAATATAGCCAGTTTACACGGAATCAGATATCTTAGAGTGACAATTGAATAGATATTGATATGCAGAATTCTGTCAAAAATCAATATTAAATCATGAAAATGCCTTCATATTAGAGCAGTTATTCCATATTTCTATTCTAGGCATGAATGGTGACAACACAGATTCCCAGAAGCTGAACAAGATCATATCTGAAATACAAGCTTTACAAGAGGTGGTGGCTCGGTTTAGACAACTCCGGTTAGATGCTACCGAATTTGCCTGTCTAAAATGCATCGTCACTTTCAAAGCTGGTAGGCCGATGCAACCCCCTGTGTCTTCTCCTTCCCCAGTTTTGCCACCTCACTAATTCAGCCACCTCAAAGTCCAGACTGATCACTGCAAAAAGAGGTGATGGTTTTTAAGGGGGCTGATACTCTTAGGCTGGCCCCACTTTCAATAGTGGGGACCCTGCTGTTCTGCTGGCCATCTATTTCCAGAGAGCTGCTTTCCCATCTACGTTTCCTCTGCCACTTATCACAGTTTCCTGGTCTTCATTTCTAGTTCCTACACATAGTGGTTCTGAACTGAGAAGTTTCCGGAATGCTGCCGCCATCGCAGCCCTTCAAGACGAGGCTCAGCTAACCCTCAACAGCTACATCCATACCAGGTGACTCGTTTGCCTTGAATGTGCACTTAAGAAAATTGCTTCCAATGTGAATGTGTGAGCAGGCGGTAATAAGCCAGTTCAGACCCTGTGACTCATCATCCTGTTGCCAGCCAGCTAATTTAGCTAGAATCTGTGTCCTTACCTATTGTGCAGGATGGGTGAGAGGAGCAGATAAGATTAGATTATCCAAGTGAGAGCATTGCCAGACTCCTTCTGGCTGTCCTGCCTGAACAAGTTGATCCACCAAAACATTGGAACACATTGGTGTGAATGGACCCTGATAAGGCAAAGGTCAAAAATAAAGGTCAAAGTGGTATATTAGTTGACATATTAGAGAGTGGTCACATCATCCTTGAGAGGCTATCTTTAACCCCATCGTGATTGCTGTTTGGCTTTGGTGACTGGTATCCACTGAGTTCTTTTGAGTCATAGCAACTTCTGGCCAAGCAGGGCCCACTGGCAGAGAATCTTCTTGGCTAGTCATTGGAACTCTCAGTCACTGGGGCTCCAGCAATGCTCCTCCTGGCACCAATGGACAAGTCCATTAAGAATTATAGACTTTCAGATTCCATTTTAAGATGGAAAAAAAGCAAGGCTTTTAAAGAGTAGTGGGACCCTGCTAGCTTCCTAAGTTAGGACTGTGGTAGATCTGAGGTTAGAACAGAATTACTATTGTTGCTTATTCTTTGATTGACCTTGAAAGGAACCCCATGCAAACCTGTCTCGATCATCTCAAAATCACCCGCAGACACTGTGCAAGGAGTAACTACATTGAGAGGGTAGAGGCAGTTAATGCCTCCCTCACCTAAGGGGTCAGCGAAATCCCAAGTCAGCTGTATTCACTGGGGGTGATACCACTTCTACTATGAGCTGCTTATTTCTATTATAAATCCTCTTTTGAAAACTAATGAATAAAACTGTTCCCTGTCCATGGAATGTCAATGAAACTGTGTTGAGTGATAGTGCATATGTATATGTCTTTCATTAAAGTACCATGGTTTTAAACGTTTAAATCCATGTTAAAGTTCAGAATGTATAGTAAGCACTTAATATTTGCTCAAAATTATAAAATGGAAAAGTACGTAATTTGGGCACTTCCCCCACTTCCCCACTAAAAATGAACTTGTATATCATAACTGACCTCTGACATCTATAGTCATTGAGGTATAAAGAACAGTACACTGAAAAGAATATGATATCCACTTACTGTTTCAGTCAAGCATTTGCTGAGGGCTTGACTGGTGAGCATTGTGGGACGCTAGAAAGAAAAAGACACTTTCCCTTACCATTGCATGAAGTAGGCAGAAGTGATCATTCAATTTAGAATAGAGAAGAGAGAAAAAGCAAAGTGTGGAGTGGGAGAGATGAATTCTAGGTGGTGAGAAAAGTCTGGAAAGGCTGGATGATGGAGGAGAAGACATGTGAGCTGGTCCTTGAATGGCAGGACTTCAGCAGGAGAGAAGGGCTGCAAGGAAAGCCAGTAGAGCGACCAATAGAGGTGCTGTGGGAGGTGCCAGCATGGAGGAAGGGGAGTCTGAGAGGGTCTGGCATACCAGAAACTTCTCCTAGGGTGACCTGAGAGAGCTAAACCACAAATTAACAAAATTCTGCTTTAGGAAAATGGCAAGTATATTACTTCTACCCCAGCCTGAAAACAAGGAAATTATTCATTGAAGGAACACATTTGCTTTGACATGGAATTTTGTTTATTAAATGTTTGTTTGTTTATTTATTTATTTTGAGAGTGGGGAGAGACAGAGAGAGAGGGTGAGAGAGAGAATCTCAAGCAGGCTCTGTGCTGTCAGTGCAGAGCCTGACATGGGGCTTGATCTCATGAACTATGAGATCATGCCCTGAGCTGAAATCGATTGAGCCACCCAAGTGCCCCTATATTCTAAAAGATAGTATGTTGAATAGTCAGACTCTCTCTCACTGTCTCAGTCTGTCTGTCTGTCTCTCTCTCATGTGCACACACACACACATTGTTATTGTTTCTAGGTAATACAGTACTTGACATAGAACAGACAATTAATTCTTGTTGACTAACCAGTCCCTTCCTAACTAGGAAATGAAAGAAGTGGGTGAGTAGGTGAGAGGATAATCTACTTGCAGAAAAGCAAGAGTTAATGGTCTATGGATTCCCCAAAATCTATCCTTTCTGAAAGTTACTATTTCCCACAGTGGTTCTTCACTGTGGGAAACGTCCAGCATGTTGGGTGAGTGCTTCACACATGGCAGAGGCTGGTCCAGGCAGCCTCTGCTTCTTACCCACTGCAGAGTCCTTGCTGCTCAGCCTGACCCTCTCAAGGGAAACAGAGCTGTTGAAGAGAGTAAATGACCAAGGGGGAAGGGAGATGTGGATCCTGGGGATTACTTTCCAGGAGACATGGAAGATACTTTGAGCAAGGAGAGCAAGTGATAGGGTGAAGGTATTTTTTAAAATGTAGCTAAGCTCCACCATTTCCATACTTCATTATTAAATGTGGTCTGGTCGTCCTTGTCCCTGGGTGATTATGAAGGTGGGCATTGAAAGGGCCAAACGGGGTCCTCAGAAGCTCAGAAAGAATGATCAGCCTCATGTCAGGTGGAAGAGAGCGAGCTCAAAGCTAACAGACAACCATGGCAATTTCTTCCCTGGATTCTATTTGCCCAGTGGAGTGATCAGTCAGTTAAACGCAGTGTTCAGCCACCTAGCTCCTATAAGGGAATTTTGATATCTGTCAGTTTCTAGCACCTTGTGGCCAGAGGTTAGGCCCAGCTAGTTACACACAGGTGTCTCTGGAGCTCAGTCTTCCAAGTGGTGTGTTGTCGTGGAGGGAGCCCTCCCTGTAGAGTATATGGATACCTGATTCCAAACAATTGACTGAGAAGCAAAAGGGCTGCTGTGAGGAAGTGGCTTATAGGCATCTAAAGGCAGCAGAAAATCGAACTTGCACATCTGAGCACAGACGCATGTTGGGACATCAAGAGAGGAAATTGTTAAGCAATTTCTCACATCTTTAATTATATGCCAATTTCATTGACATGAAAGTTGGGTGGCACTGCCACCCAACAGAACTTAGTCTTTAATTTGCAGTGTAATAAGGATGGAATTATTCCTGAGAGTGACTAAGTATAATGCCTGAATAATAATTTGGAGAATTGCTTTGAGAAGGAATCCATTTTATATGAGGGAGACTAGCCTGATGCGAGAGCCTTGGGGACCAGAAAATGTGGATGTTATCGCTACTTTTATCAGGAAAACCATGGGTATTTTCTATGCTGGCAACCTTTAGTATATTATTTGACTTAAACCTAGTACCATATTTCTTTAAAATTTTTAAAAATGTTTATTTTTGAGAGAGAGACAGAGTGCGAGTGGGGGAAGGAGAGAGAGAGAGGGAGACACAGAATCTGAAGCAGGCTCCAGGCTCTGAGCTGTCAACAAAGAGCAAAACATGGGGCTCGAACTCAAGAATGGTGAGATAATGACCTGAGCTGAAGTCAGACGCTTAACCGACTGAGCCACCCAGGTGCTCCAGTACCTATTTCTTAAAATTACTTTTTCTCCAAACAAAATGCAACCCCTTTGCTAACATAAAGATAGTGATTTTGTCAGCATCAAGTTCTTCGTGCCTTGAGTATTCAACCCACACAACAGGGCCAGTAGCACCTGCCTAGGTCTCTGTTGCTGGGAGAGTGTGGTATTAAAGAGGCCCAGACAGGAAATTATGCTGAAGACGGTGTGCGTTCACGTATGAGATACGAGTTCCCATGAGTCCTTGCTCTTACCTTGCTGTCATGGCTTCTCCTCTTCCAGATATCCCACTCAACCCTGTCGCTTTGGAAAACTCCTGTTGCTTTTGCCAGCTTTACGTTCTATTAGTCCGTCAACCATAGAAGAGGTGTTTTTCAAAAAAACCATCGGCAACGTGCCAATTACAAGACTGCTTTCAGATATGTACAAATCCAGTGACATCTAAGCCCTGAGTCCCCACTTTTCAGGATGGGGCAGTATTTGATGAACTTCTACCCACGGAGAACAAGCCTCAACTAACAAACCCTTCAGGAAGCATAAACCTGGGAATGTGTAGCCTTCAGGAAAAAAAAATGCCAATTGACACAAAACCGTTCCAGTGGCTTTGACCTACTGCCTCGCCCAGGGTAGGGCAGCCGGGAAAGAAAGGGGGGTGTCACAGGGCCACCCAAGCAGAGCCACGCCCTGGGAGGGGGGCTGGTGGGGGGGGAGTGTTGCCACAGGCCATGCCATTCTTCTTACCTGGAAGATCGGGCTGAACTCTCAAAATCGAAAATATCAGTAGAAGTTTCTTTTCCTTTTTAGCAGATAAAGTTGGGTAACCAAATATAGTTCTGTATATAACATCATACAGCAGCCTTCGGAACTATTTCATGTTGGAGAAATTGTTTTAAAAATAATGGTTAGGTTTTAAATCAAAAGTTTTATCAAAAATTTTTCTTCTATCGTAATACATCATGAAGTGGCCTTCAGGACTGAGTTAGTGAATGAAAGGTAGCTTACGCCATGAGACTTGCTTTTCTCTATCTTTTTTCTTTCTTTTCTCTCTCTTTTGTTCTTCTCCTTCTCCTCCCCCTCCTTCCCCTCCTCCTCCTCCTTCTCTTTGATACCATAGGCCAGGCAACCTTGTCAAAGGAATTGGTGGACAAAATGAGATTCTCACCAAGACTTCAGGTTGGATAACATCTCAAAAATAGAAGAGCTTTACTAAAAGAATGCAAATTGAGGGAGGATGAATAAAAACAGCCAAACCAAATAGAGTGGAGATGGATGATGAGGCAGATTGCTGTCCTGCTAACAAAGTGCTGAGACCAAAGGCAATGGGGGTCCAAACTCGTGTTTCAGCGAGTCACACCAGACAGAGAGTAAATGAACAGAGACATGATGCCAGAAGGAACCACAAGGAGATGAAGGCTAAAAGGTTTCTTGATTGATCCATTGCTAACAGCCTGAGACTCTTCAATGCCTTTCAGAAAACCGGTTTCTAGTAAAGCCTTGAATGCACGCATGCACACACACACACACACACACACACACACACACACCGTCCTACACTATAAGCTGCTCCTTTGGTATGAATCTATACTTATGGAAATGTAGAAACAAACATTTGAAAATAGCTGCTGTACTTTTCACATTTTGATTTATTAGGTACTAGCACTGAAGAAAAATATTCAGCACTTGGACTATCATAGGATGAGTAAAACTTCTCTTGTACAAAGTGAATTAACTGATTTGTGAAGTTAAAAGGTTGTACTCATTGTATTTACAAAGAATAAAAATATATTGGATTTAAAGGAACTCTACCTGATTTCTTAGCCTCCCTCCCCGGCTGGTTCTCACCCACCAGAGAGAAGGTGGCGGCAGCAGCTGGTGTAAAAACTGAAGCTCAGAGCACTCCAGCCTGAAGAACCGAACCACAAAGGCAATTTCCTTTTTACAGTGAATCCCATTTGTAAAATGATGAATAAAGAAATAAAACATAAGATTCTGTTCTCTGCAGCTCTCAAATGTAATTGCATCTGTTAGCAAAATTGCTGTGTGAAGAAGAAAGAGGCCGATTAACAGAGTCTTCATTCAGTCGCTCCTCTCTCTTGCCAACATTTCAGTCCTGACCAGGAACTTGAAATCATTTAGTGATCAAAAAGATATAAAGTGTGAAGATCTATATTGGTGAGTAAGATGTGGAAGGGGCAGTAGAAAGTGTGTTCAGATGTTCCCGGCACATCTCCGGGCAGTGGCTGTACCACCAGAGGCCAGTGGTGGAAATCCCAGGTGCCCAAGGCCATGGCCACTTTGGGCTCCTCCTGGGCAGTAGCTCCAGCAACAGTCTGGAGCAGAGGTACTAGCAACTCTTGGCTAAATCGACCTTACAGATCGCACGTGTGGAAGTTCAGTCAGCCATGCACTCCTCTACTGAGTCCACGGAGAGGAGAAGTTGTATTACAGAAAAGCAAGGTACCCAAAGATGTGTGTAGGAATGTTCCTTGCAACACTGTTCATGTTCGACAACTAAAACGTTCACCAACAGAGAATAGGTACGTTGTGGTGCATACAGTATTACCCTAGTTAAAGTGAATAGACTGGAGCCAATGTATTGGACATGGGTACATGTTGTGAAATATAGTGTGGGGATGGGTGGGAAGTGAATCATAAAGGATGTATACAGCTGAGTGTTTATGTAAAGTTTTACAAGCCACAGAACAATACCAGGTTATGTTTAGACGTCTATAAATATATCACAAACACGAGTGGGATACATACTAACTGCACAATAGTGATTGCCTTTGGGAATGTATGGAATTCGTGAAAGGTATCTGAAAGATTCAAAAATGTTTCTGAAATGGCTTATTTTATAAGACAAAAGAGAATCAGAAACAAATATGAGATCAATAACAAGATTTGGTAAAGCTGAGCAATGGCTCCAAGGCTATCCATCCATGGATTAGTCAAGTTTCACTTCAATAATGCTATAATGCGAAATAGCCAATAACCCCCAGAGCTTATGATAGCAGACTTGTGTTTCCTGCTCACTGGAGACTGTCCGTCCCTCGGGGCTCAGCCGGGCCTGGTTCCAGGCTGGAGTTTGGGTTCAGGTGTGCTCCAGGGTTTCCTCATTCTGGACTAGCCACCTCCCTAAAACAGCTTCTTTGCACGGCAGAGTGTGCAAGTGCAAGATGCCAAGCCGAACGACACAAGACACATCTGAGGCTGCTGCTCATATCACCTTTGTTCACTTTCCATTGGCCCAAGCCAGACAGACGTGGCCAAACCCAACCTCCTGTGGTCAGGGAAGTATACTCCTCTCGTGGAGGAGGGGGATGCAAGGGGATCACTGACCTACAACAAAATCTATCACAATCATATAGTCTACTTTAATCCATTTAAAATATTCCCAGCAAAGTTAAAAGGGAAATATGTTTCCCAGGACATGCCACAGAAAAGATTCCTACCGGAACTGCCTTTGTTTTGGGCGTCTCCACTATTATAAGCAGGAATCAAAGCTGGCTTTCAAGATTTGAAAAAGCCCAGAATTAAAAACCCCATAGCACTCTCTTCTGGGACTTTAGAATCTCTACTGGATGCAAGCTTGGGTACTTTAAGAACCTGCGTGCTTGCATGGGTTTTAAGACAAATATGCTCTATGGCTGGTGTTGGCAGCGAGGGGTGAGGGATGTGCCACAGTAGTCTTTGAATATACAAATTTAAGTTATCATCCCAATATACGCAATTTGAATAACCAAACAAGAGAAGGTGGACCTAGCCAAGTGATTACTGCAGCCAAAATCCAGTCTTCAGTTCTCCTTTGACAAACAGTTTTTCTAAATCTGGGAGGGTTGCTTTTCAAAAGTATTATTTACATGTTGTGACATTAGGTAAAGGGGTCTTACATTTGTGTTTGAATCATTTTCAGTTGTCCTTTGATACTAGGGAAGAAAAAGAACGGGAGGTGAATTCACAAACTGAATTAAGGGCCCCCAAATATTTCACTTATAGTTTAGGGTTTTTTAGTTCAATTTAGGAGCCCAAGAACTGAACCCCTTGACCAGAGACCTGCACTGTGGTTGCTGTCCTTAATCCTTATAAAAATGGGACGCCTAGGGGCGTCTGGGTGGTTCAGTCGGTTGAGTATCCGGCTTCGACTCAGGTCATGATCTCACGATTCATGAGTTCGAGCCCCACATAGGGCTCTGTGCTAACAGCTCAGAGCCCGGAGCCTGCTTCAGATTCTGTATCCCCCTCTCTGTCCCTCCCCTGCTCATGCTCTGTCTCTCTCCCTCTCAAAAATAAATAAACATTAAAAAATTTAAATAAACATGGAAACCCTCTATTTTTTCCTGCAGATTATTTTTGTGTGTATGGCTATCTCTTCTGGTGGTACATATGGCTCTACTTTGTTTTTTAAAAACATCTCCCTATTGGGGCGCCTGGGTGGCTTAGTCGGTTAAGCGGCCGACTTTCGCTTAGGTCATGATCTCGCGGTTCATGGGTTCAAGCCCCGCGTCAGGCTCTGTGCTGGCTGCCAGCTCAGAGCCTGGAGCCTATTTCAGAGTCTGTGTCTCCCTCTCTCTCTGACCCTCCCCTGCTCATGCTCTCTCTCTCTCTCTCTCTCTCTCCTAGAAATAAATAAAAATTAAAAAAAAATCTCCCTATTATTCCATTTTATGGATTAACGACCGTTTATTCAACTAATTCCTTGCTGATGGACTTTCAGTTACTTGCAGTTTTTCACTGTAACAAATTAGACTGCGAAGAACTATCTTTCTATGTATGCTGCCAGAGCGTGGGGGTATTTCTGTAGGACAAATTGTTAGAAGTGGCATTTCTGAGTCAAAGATTATATGCATTTTTAATTTTGATACATACAACCAAATGGCTCTCCAAAAGGGTCGTATCAATTTGTGCTTCTGCGAAGAGGGTCTGAGAGGGCCCATTTCGTTGCTTAGAATTTAAAAGTGCTTAATCAGACACAGGCTTGATGAACACTTCAGAAGCTGTTAGAAAAATACAGAGAATGCCTGTGTTTCTATTATGAATATGCCTCTGCTTACTGGGCTGGTGAAGTAGATCTCACCCTGTACCCACGGTGAAGCTTGATTCTCCCAATACCCAGACCCCTTCTGGGAACTTTTGAGCGTGCCCATGTCGTGAGGAAGGCTGAGAGAAAGTAGATAAATGACGATGTATTTTTTTATATATAAATGATAATGTAGAAGCAGCTTGGCAAACACTTTCTGCTGCTAAGATGCTGTTCTAAGAATCTCAAGCCACTCATTTTACAATAACATTTTTTATAATCACTCAGGGAAATTGGAGAACAATAACCCTCTTTGATTAACTCCAGTGCCTTTACCATGAATGACTAATGGTTTATTTTATGTCGTCTGTATTTTAAAATCATCTTTTTAAATTCGTGAAGCCTCTTTTGGAACATGAAGTGGCTTTTCACTCTGAATATTGCTGACCTGTACAGAAACCATTAGGGAGGGTCATCAGAGCTTTGGGCCGCCGCTGAGCTGGGTTCCTCAGCAATGTGCAGAGGGCAGACTCCCTGATGACGTAACCAGGATGTTGCCACATGGCCCGGGGAGCTTCCAGACATACCCCAGTGTTGCAGTGCTCTGCTGGGAAACTGTGAGGAGGGT